TCTTTCTCTCTCAGTTTGACGTCCCTGATGGTACGTTTAGGTTTTATTCAAAGCAACAACGATCAACATTTTATCTGTTCTCATCTTTACACATCACACAACAGCCCACGTCCCTAGCCCCGCTATTAACTAAATCCCCTTACAATCGTTCACTCCAAGTTTTATACCCGTACTCGACCTTGGATAACAATATCTAAACAAGTGGGAGTTAACTCAACTCACACACACCCCTTCCCTACGTTCTGGACTATTCTAGTCTATTCTAATCTAACCTACAACGGACCCGTAACACCTGAGTCAGCTCATCTCTAATGGGTGCCTGACAAAGTGCCTTATGTAAGGGAAAGTAAAGCCAGCTGGGCATAAAACTGTCCATACTGCCCCTTTATATGTTGAAGAAACAGAAACTCTACTTCATCTGCCATATGGACCAAAATGGTAGGCAATACTATATATAGGATGAGAGTTTCGTACTTCCTGCCCACAAACACGTTATGTTTCCCTGGAGCTATTTGTATGTGTTGGGTATAGAACTGACCACTAATACAACAGACCAGTTCCAGAACATCTGCCCAACTGACTCTCAGGTCCAAAAGGGGAACTTTACTTTTTAATTTCTATGTATTTATAATTGTTTTTTTTATAATAATAGTAATTAAATAAAAAAATAAAATAATTCCCTACCTCTATTCTCGGAGAGAAATTTGTTATAGTCATACATTTTCAAGGGCAGGCCAACATTTAGTAACACAACAAGCAAGTACCACACTCCTTTTGGATTCAACGCTGCTATTGCTATCTGTAAACCCACCAGACCTGTGTGAAACTTTCTTGGTTAGTCCTGTTGTTTCGGTGAAGGTTTAGTAATGGTAGGTAAAAGTTTTACTAAAATCTTTACTAAAATGTTTACTAAAATGATTACTTACCCATCAAACAAGCACCGAGGATAATATAAAACGTAATACAGCCTAAAATAGGTAAAATTAAATATTGTAAGAATTAAAACAAAATGCTAAAGCAAAAAATTATTAGCCTAAAAGCTATCATTGAATGCATTACTGCGCCCCCGCGCCCAGATAGTTTTTGACATAATTTGTAAAACAACCAACACTAAGTCTTACCAACATATTGCTTAATGCAACTTGATTGATATAATACTGTAGAAATAAAGATTAAAAAAAGGTAAATATCAAACAGACAAAAAAAGAAATGAAAACTTAATATTTTTCCCGCTTTGTTAAAAATTACGCGAAAATATTATTTTTTCCCCTTTTAATATAGACTGTAACACTTTGGACTTAAGTTTACTTAACCCAAACCTCCCCCACCCCAATTTTTTGACAAATGTAATATATGAAAGATTAATGATTGATGAATCGACTTCTCTATAAAATATAAAGTAATCTGGTAGGGAGGACCCCGTACATGTGTGTCTCGGGGAGAAAACATTCCAAAAGTGAAAGACTGGCTCTAACGTGATAGGATTACCAACAAGGGTTTTTTCTTCGGCAGCGTCTACTAATAAAATTGGTAGCAGAAGTAATGCTTAGCATTTAGTTTTACTATAGCATCGAATATCGAAAGATGGATTGTGATACATGAACATCACATGACCTCTTCATCTAATGCCTTGGTAAGCACCTTAAAGATTTCACTACCATGTGTGCCTCCTTTGTCTAATGAGACAAAATAAGGCCATAAATTTAGTTGGTTGGAAATATTTATATGACAGCAGGCTTAGTAAAGAGATTGAATGGCAAAGTTATTGATTTATAAAATTATATCTAAATATTCGTAAGACATTAAAATATTTAAGAAACTTACATTTTGTTACTTACCTGAAATATTAATTTTTTGTTGACTTGGTGCTATAAATCAATGGTATAAAAAATTAAAAACTTATAAAGAAAATATGTCTTTACTTAAAATTGTAAATTATAAGGTAACGTATTCAATCAGTAAAATGAAATTTTACTTTCCTTGATAAAAAGTTAATACTACGAATTTGGCGTTGCTTTGCTTAGGTTTAAAATAATTGCTGACATTTTTACCCTGTATATAACACTTTAATACGAATCATTAGGATAGCGTGAATGGAGGACCCACCCTATTTTTTGGGGTACCCTTTCAAATGGTCTCCAACATAACAAAATAAAAGGGTGTGGAGGGGTGGGGGTTCTCGATAAAAAATTTTTTGTTACCCACTTGACGTGTAAGATTTGACCAGCTGCGGTCAGCTGCTGACCTCTTTTTTATATAGAGATATTTTTAGATTTACCCAATATACTTTACTTTACGAATAAAAAATGTGTTAAATTAAAAAAAAACGACCAGTTTAATTAGCACTTAAATTATTCAAAAGTCTAAGAAATTTATTTTCCCCCTCACTGAACAATGTTTTAACACTTTAATGAGGGTATTGAAGTTTAATATGTTCTATGATGTAAAAACAAAATATATGGATAAAAACGTTATAGTCAATTAAAGCTCATATGCTTGGCATACGCTAGTTCGGAACTTTACTAAAAAAATTATATTTTGCTTAGAATCTTTGGCTTTGTTCTCATATATCTCTTAATATGCATACTTAAACAAAACTAAAGGGGGTATTGAGAGTTAG